CCCCTCTATTGTTGTTATTTATTATTTTTCTTCCCATTATTATCATAGAATTTCAAACAATGTTTCCTGTCCAAAGTCGCAGGGGAAAGTGGAGGAGGGGAAACAGATCGGCCTGTGGCTGTTTTTCCTTAATGAATATTGGAAGGAAGTGTTGCTGAGTTTGTGAACAAGTTGGTGGATCTCAACCCTGGTATTTCCATAAAGCTACAGAATCCCCCCACTGGTTTCCTAATGAAATGAAGTTGTAATGAAAGCCATATGGAGGAAGGCATCATACTTCCTGCGTGCGACAGTGTGGGGCCGGGCTGGGCTGTTGAATGGCTCCACAACCACCAGCAATCATCCATTCTGATCAGGATGTCGCCATTGTGGGAAGCATTAGGGATGTTCACAAATACTCTGTCTCTCCTTCCAAATGCATAACAGAATGACACATCCTTAGCCCTCCCCCTAGAGTTAGGCATGGCCACGTAGCTTGGTCAGTAACATATGAGCAGAGTTGACATATGTTTTTCCTAGGCAGAACCTTTCAAATCCACATCCTTTTTCCTGCACTGGAAACTGGCTGAGACTGAGTATACCCTTTGGTCAGATCCCTGAGGTTAACAACAGTGATCAGAGACACTTGCCAACCCAAGGGAAATAGAGGATGCACTCTAATGCAGATTTATACTGTGGAAAACAACCAAGAACCTGGTTTTAAAAATTATCACAAGCCAATCACCAGTGGCTCATACCTGTAATCCTAGCTACTCAGGAGGTAGATCTGACGATGGTGTTCAAAGCCAGCTGAGGCAAGAGAGGCCATGAGACACTTATCTCCAATTAAGCACAGAAAAAAACCAAAAAACTTAAAGTAAAGGTGTGGCTGAGGTGGTAGAACCCTTGCCTTCAGCAAAAAAAGCTCAGAGATAGTGCCCAGGCCCTGAGTTCGAGCCTCAGAACTGGCACACACAAAAAATTAAATAGGCCAGGCGCCAGTGGGTTCATGCCTGTAATCCTAGCTACTTAGTAAGTTGAGACCTGAGGATCATAGTTCAAAGCCAGACCAGGCAGGAAAGTCTGTGAGACTCTTATTACCAATGAACCACCAGAAAACCAAAAGTGGTGCTGTGGCTCAAGTGGTAGAATGCTGACCTTGAGCTGAAGAGCTCAGGGACAGCACCCAGGCCCAGAGTTGAAGTCCCATAACTGACAAAAATAAAAATAAATTAAAAAATTAAATAGAATAGGAAAACCTTAAAAGCAACTTAAAAAAGAAAAGAAAGCAGGAGCTGGCGGCTCATGCCTGTTATCCTAGCTACTCAGGAGGCTGAGATCTGAGGATCATGGTTCAAAGCCAGCCCGGGCAAGAAATCTGTGAGACTCTTATCTCCAATAAACCACTCAGAAAAACAGAACTGGCACAGTGGCTCACATGGTAGAGTGCTAGCCTTGACAGTGTTCAGGCCCAGAGTTCAAGCCCCATGACCGACAGAAAAAAAAAGAAGAAGAAAAAAAGACACTATTCAGAAACATGCAATAAGACTGATAGCAGACTTTTCAGCAGAATCTATAAAGGGTAGGAGACAATTGGATTGAAATTTTAAACTACTGGAAAAAAAAAATCCCTTTCACTCAAGAATTCTGTTCCCAGAAGGGAGAAGAATGCAATAATGTGTTCACAGGCCCTTAGAGTGACATAGCGGTGAAACTTCATATGGGGATTAGATTCCAGATAATCACTGATGCTCTTTCACCATACAGAGTTATCTGAACAAAGGGAAAAATAAAATTCTGAAATGAGAACCACTTATTAGAAGTGATTTGCTATATTAATAACAGAACCCTAGAATGGCACCATCCAAGACCAAATGTAAGCCACATTAATTTAAAATTTTCACAGAGCAAATTTTCTCAGAGAATAGGTAAATGGCACATTTTTATTTCACCATAATGAAATGAAGTTTTCATTTCATTTAACCTAATTAGTGTAAGCATTATATTAATTTGAAATAATTACAATTGGCTGTAGTTTATAAATTTCAAGTCTTTGAAAGTTACATTTCAATTTGGACTGCTACTGTTTCAAGCTTTCTTTAGCCTCATATGGCTAGGGGCTACCATATTAGATTGCAAAGACAAAATGGACACAAGATGGACATGATGGTTCAGACCTATATTCTTAGCTACTCAAGAGGCAGAGATTGGGAGAATCAGGATTTGAGATCACAGCCCATCTGAGTCAGTAAGTCCAGCTTATTGTTTATACTGCTGTAATCACAGCTACACTGGCAGCTGGAGATAGGAGGATCAGAGTCTAAATACTGCTCTGAATGAAAACAGGATACCTACATTTTTTTACTAAAAAGTTTTTAAAAAGGGGGAATGGGTCATAAGTTTGAGTGGTGGAGTACCTTTTAACAGGTCCCGTGGGGCTGGGAAGGTGGCTCAGTGGTAGAGTGCTTGCCTTGCATGCATGAGGCCCTGGGTTCGATTCCTCAGCACCACATAAGCAGAAAAAAAAGCTGGAAGTGGCGCTGTGGCTCAAGTGGTAGAGCGCTAGCCTTGAGCTGAAGAGCTGAGGGACAGCACCCAGGCCCAGAGTTCAGGCCCCACGACCAGACCCCCCCCCCCCCCAAAAAAAAACATGACAGGTCCTGAGTTCAAATCCAAATCACAATGGTATAGAGAAATGACAGAGAGAGAGAGAGAGAGAGAGAGAGAGAGAGAGAGAGGAGGGGGCAGGGGGAGGAGACTCTCAAAGACCTATTTGGCAGTTCTCAGCCCTGGCTACTCATTTGGATACCCTGAGTGAGGATAGATGCCCATAAGTTAGGGAGAGGCAGTGAGGCACTCATGCTAAACACAAAATTTAAGAAAGCACACACACACACACACACACACACACACACACAAAACTCAGCAATTGGGCTGGGAAGGTGGCTCAGTGGTAGAGTGCTTGCCTTGCATGCTTGAGGCCCTGCACCACATAAGCAGAAAAGGCCGGAAGTGGCGCTGTGGCTCAAGTGGTAGAATGCTAGCCTTGAGCTGAAGAGCTGAGGGACAGCGCCCAAGTCCCAAGGTTCAAGCCCCATGACCGACAATAAAAACAAACAACAAAAAAAAACAACTCAGCAATACAGATAAATAACGTTTAATACTTTAAGAAATCTGTAATTAATACCAGAACTTCATTAAAAACAGGATCTGATTGCTGGTTTTTCTTTTCTTCTACCTCCAGCTCCAACACAACCCAATGCTCAGGACCCAGTGTAGACCACATAAACTGGTATCCCTGGAGGTGGGATCCAAGCAACCTATTTTCTTTTTTTGTGCCAATCCTGGAGCTTGAACTCAAGGTCTGGGCCCTATCCTTGAACGTTTTTCTCAAGATTTGCACTCTACCACTTGAGCCATACTGGCTCCACTTCCAGCTTTTTGGTGGTTAATTGAAGCTAAGAGTCTTACAGACTTTTTGTTCAAGCTCGCTTCCACCCACAGTCCTGAGATTTCAGCCTCCTATATAGCTAGGATTACAGGAGTGACCCACTGGCATTCTATTTTTAAAGATATTCTATTTTTAAAGCACCCAGATGGTTCTAACATGAAGAGGCAGTATTAAGGGCCTTAGTTCTAGCCCAGTGGGGTAGAACTAAGGGGGCAGTTAACCACTAACATCATAGAATTGTGCCATGTGATTTCTTTCACCCAAACCTCCAACTTATCTATAGCTTTCCATTGTGGACTTCCAGTAATGAGGAGTTCACAACTTTACAGGTCTGTCATTTCTATTATTGGACAACTGTAGAGCAACTTCTTGTTTATTTAGGGATAACTATTAAAATACAAGTTCAAAACAAGGTAAAGCCATATCACATACATACATAAAAATAAACATGTTTGAGATTTTACTTAATAAAGGGAATGAGGAAGATATTATCACCAGTTCAGAAGAGAATCCAAAAATCAGACATTTTTATACATCAGGAATATTGAAAAAGCCAGGCACCTGTGGCTCATGACTATAATCCTACCTACTCAGGAGGCTGAGATCTGAGTTTGAAACCATCTTAGGCAATAAAGTTTATAAGACTCTCATCTGCAATTGACTACTAAAAACCCAGAAGTAGAACTGTAGCTCTAGTGGCAGAATGTTAGTCTTGAAGAAAAATAATTCAGAAACAGTGCCCAGACCCTGAGTTTAAGCCCCAGGACTGGCATACACACACACACAAAATTGAAATAAATATGCAAAGAAAGTAAGCAGATTTTTCACAGGAAATCAAGGGAGGGAACGGAACTGAACTTCCATCAAACTAGGCAGACTGTGTCTACGCATCCCAATATGTACCAACATACAGAGTTGTTCAATATGAACCTTAGAATCCATTGATGAGGCTCTAGGGTGTGCTAGAGACAACATCTGATTTTCCATCCAAGTAAAAATTATTTCTACATAATTTATTTTTTTGTCTGTTGTGGAGCTTGAACTCTGGGCCTAGGTGCTGTCCCTCAGCTCTTCAGCCCAAGGCCAGAGCCAGCCACAGTGCCACTTAACGGTGTTCTGGTAGTTAGTTGGCGATAAGAGTCTCATGGACTTTCCTGCTCAGGCTGGCTGCAAACCTTGATCCTCAGCCTCCTAAGTAGCTAGGATAACAGGTGTGAGCCACCAGCGCTCGGTTGTGAGTTTCTTATCTCCAATTAACCACCAAAAACCAGAAGTGGAGGTATGGCTCAAGTGGCAGAGTGGTGCCAGCCTTGAGCAAAAAATGCTTAGGATCAGTGCTCAAGCTCTAAGTTCAAGCCCAATTTCTGGCACACAGCCACAAGAAAAAAACATACCTCCTCTGTGCTCCAAAGATAGCAGGTACAAACATGCATCTCACTGTGTTTGAAGGGACCTCTACATCTCAATTCAAATCAGTCTTAGAAATACACTTAGCTAAATATATTTTCTTTACTTTGCTTTCTAGATAACGTGCTATTTCTTTTCTCCCTCCCCCCCTCAACTCTTGCAGGACAAAAAAGGAACTGTGTTTGTCCTATATGAACACCTGAAGAGAAACCAGATGGGCATGTTGTAAGTATGATGTGTATCTATGAGATAATAATAAGGTAAACAAATAAACTACAGTGGGAGTCATGGTATTTCATGTATTTTAATTACAATGCTGATCTAAGATGGAAAGCCTGTCTTGGTTTACCTACACCTTCAGGTATTTTGTACAGAGGCTTTAGATGTGTTGGTCTGGGCTTATAATTTGTAATTATCCAAAATTGTCAGGTAAGAGTCTACACTTAATCTATTCTATTCAACAGCATATACATACCAAGTATAACAAATTTGACTGACAGCCACTTCAGTCCCAATTGTGGAAAGCCAGTTATCATTCTGGCACGATTAGAAAAGTGTTCTAATGATTTGGAAAGCTGTTCCTCTGGGAGGCAGAGTCAGACCCAGCTCCAGCTGGAACGCATTCTCCTTATGATGTTTATATGAGAATAATACAACACAATTTTGAGTAATACATACATATGTACATAAGTGAAATGAAATATTCCTGGACCCCCAAACCAAAGATCCTGGATTCTGACCCTGTGATAATGAAACACAAATGTCTGTTCAAAATTACAGCTCTGAAGTTGTCTTTGTCTTATTATTTATTTTCATAAAAGCAGAGACACTGCTGCTTAGCAGCTCAAAGTAGTGTCATGCCTAGATTTGGGGAATGTTTATCTCAAAAAGTTCAGAAGCACTAATGCAGTCCAATTCCTTTATTTCAGGGATTAAAAAGAAGAAGAAGAAGAAAGGCAGGTCTAGGAAGGTGGCTCAGTGGTAGAGCGCTTGCCTTGCATGCATGAGGCCCTGGGTTCAATTCCTCAGCACCACACAAGCAGAAAAAGCTGGAAATGGTGCTGTGTGGCTCACGTGGTAGAGCGCTAGCCTTTTGCTGAAGAGCTGAGGGACAGTACACAGGCCCAAAGTTCAGGCCCCATGAACAAAAACAAAAAAGACCCAGAAAATTTAAGTCGATTCCTGAAAACCTGTCAGTGGCAGGAGTAAGAGTTGTCGCTTGTCTTAGTGAGTGGGAAGCTTTTAGGCAGTGTCACCCTGACTTAAACCTAAGAATTCGCTCTTTGGTTCATTCCAAACTGATCCAAACCTTCGTCTTAAGGGAACTTATTTAACATGAAAGAAAAAAAAAATCCCAAGTTTGGAGGAAGGCTGTTTCTTTGTTTGTTTTTGTTTTTTCATTGCATTTTCTTTTAGCTGCCTTTAGGGGCAGCTCTTTATATTCACTCTCTCAAGACAGAACAATTATTATAAATGAATCCATTTACTTAACCTTCTAGTTTTCCTTTGACAAAGAAAGTTTTAAAAAATAGCTAGAAAAATGCTCTGGAATTTCCAAATTGAAATATGAAATAGCTGGGTGCCAGTGGCTCACAATTGTAATCCTAGCAACTCAGTAGGCTGAGAGCTGAGGATAGCAGTTCAAAACCATCCCAGGCAGAAAGTCCGTGAGATTCTTGCCTCCAAATAACCACCACTACCAAAAAACACAAAACAACAACAAACTTGGGGGCGGGAGGAAACTGTTATTGGAGCTGTGGCTCCAGTGATGTGTACCAGCCTTGAACACAAAAACACAGGGACAGCTTCTGAGTTCAAGCCCCAGGACAGGCACAAAAACAAAAGAAAAGGAAAAAAAAAAAAAGAAATAACCTAGTTGTTTGGGAGTGTTCACCAGTCACTTTATCATTCTACAAGATGGTTTGTCTCTAAACTCTTCTGAAAGTAAGGTTCAGCTATATATAGAGGCTTCTTCAGGATTGGGGTTCACTGTCATTGAACCTGAGCAGGGCACTGTCATAAGTGACAGGAATATTTCTTGTACACATGAAACAGAAAATAAACCCCGAACCAAAGTCTCCAGGGTCCAGAGAGCTACAAATGTGGAGAAGGAAATGAATGACAAGGCATGAATGACAGCAATAATTCTCTTCCAGGAACGTAAAACAGTTTAAAAAAAAAAAAAAAAAAAGGAAGTGAATACCACTGGCTCAGAAGTAGGCCGTTTTGCAAAGAAATGACTGAAGCTATTGCTTTATTCTGCTGTTGATTAATAAAAAATATTTATTACGCAAATCCTTTTTGTTGACAAGTTAAAATGGAGCCTCATCTTTCATATCTCCCTGAAGATTGCCACCTTGTGAGATTGAAAATACTCATTAAATTCCATCAGCAGAAGCACAAATGAGAGGGCGAATTGTTTTTAAGCCTGTAAGGGGACTCATTGGTAAACTCATTTGTTTGGATATCATTAACAGAACAATCGGTGTGGATCTCCAGGGGGTCCTCATGACCTTTGCCCGCAATCTCTTCATCATCCATCAAGAGATATCAGCACCTAATATGCAAGGCGAGACCAATTTTAAGGTGAGGTGTTAATTAACTAACGATTCTGGTTAATTTCTAGAGAGGCCTGAAAATACCTCATGCTGTATTGTAAACAAGTGCTAAACCATCTTTCCTTTCCTTTCCTTTCTTTTCTTTCTTTCTTTTTTTTTTTTCTAAGCAGCACATATTTTACAATGTGCAGGGTCAGTTTTGTAAGGTCCCCACTAAACCCGTTAGTTAAATTTAATAGTTTGAAACTTTTTCTTTGAAATATAGGAAACTTGTTTTAACTTGCTGCCATGTTCAAACCCTAAGCTTGTAAGACCAGAGCTTTCTGATGTTGGAAGTGAAGCTGCCATGTCATCTTGGAACCAACACAGAGACTGTCACAACCAAAATTTGTGAATGTTACCTATCTATATTTCAGATAATAGTGTGTCTGGCTAGTGACTCCTGTGGAGCCTCAGTTTCTAGAATCACAGAAGATAAGGCTCAAGAAGGGTAATGTGGGGATGGGAAGTTGGCTCAGTGGTAGAGCACTTGCCTTGCATGCTCGAGGCCCTGGGTTCGATTCCTCAGCACCACATAAGAAAAAAGCCGGAAGTGGTACTGTGGCTCAAGTGGTAGAGTGCCAGCCTTAAGCTGAAGAGCTGAGGGACAGTGCCCAGGCCCAGAGTTCAGGCCCCACGACCGGACCCAAAAAAAAAAGAAGGGTAATGTGTGCTAAGAAGCAGAGAAAAATTCCAGCATGTGTGTGGACATCCACTCCATTCCATTTCTCCAAAGTATAGACGGGTGCTCTGCCACTTGAGCCACACTTTCCATTTTTTTAGTATCGTTATTTTTTAAATATAGTCTCACATTTTTGGCTAAGAGGATCTAGACCAGGATCCTCCTCCTTTTTTTTTCTTTTTTGGCCTTCATGGCTGGGATAACAGGTATGGGCTACCAGGCCACCATGCCCAGCTTTATATTTGCTTGAGATGATGAATCTTAAACTTTTTTTCTTGTCAGCCACAGGGCTTGAACTCAGAGCCTGGCTACTGTGCCTAAGCTCTTTCTGCTCCTACCAATTTGTGACACAGCCCCACTTCCCGTTTTCTGTTGGTTAATTGGAGACAAGGGTCTCATGGACTTTCCTGCACAGGCTGGCTTTGAACCGTGATCCTCAGATCTCAACCTCCTGAGTAGTTAAGATTCCAAGCATGATCTACCAGTACCTGATTTTGAAACCTTTTTTGGGGGGGGGAGGGGGAGAGATAGGGCTAGCCTTAAACTATGTTCCTCCCAATCTCAGACTCCTGATTGCAGATAGGACCTCTTGCACTCAGCTTCACATTTTTGAAGTCTCTGTATGGCCTCTAACGATTTTTAGTCCTGCCAAATGTCAGTGATTCATGCCTGTAATTCTAGCCCAAAGGGCTAAGAAATACCATTTCTAAAATAACCAACAAAAATCTGGACTGGAGGCAGAGCTCAAGTGATAGAGAACCAAATGAGCAAGTTTGAGGCCATGAGTTCAAGCCCTCAAATCATGAAAAAAAATCTTGGTCAGTAAAATATTGTTATGTGTAATTCTAGAATACAGAGATAGGGCGCATATGGGACATGTGTGTGTGCATGCGTGTGTGTGTGTGTGTGTGTGTGTGTGTGTGTGTGTGTGTGTGTGTGTGTGTGTTCCTGTCCTGGGCTTGAACTCAAGGCCTGGGCATTGTCCCTGAGCTTTTGTGCTCAAGGCTAGCACTCTGCAACTTGAGCCACACCTCTGTTTCTGCCTTTTTGCTGCCTAACTGAAGATAAGAGACTCATGGATTTTCTTCTTTGGGCTGATGTTTAACTGCAGTCCTCAGATCTCAGCCTCCTGAGTAGCTAGGGTTACCATTGTGAGCCACAGCACCAGCAATGCATGAGACTTTTTGAGATACTGGCTGAACAGAGCTGATGGCTTGATATTGATCATATATAGATCTGATTCCCAGCATCACCTTCAGCATGCTTCATTAAGGCAAGTAACTGAAAGGACTCACTGGAAATCACATATAATTTTCCATCTGAAACAGAAAACCCAACAAAATCTTGTTTAAAAACAACAACAACAACATAATTTTAAGCCGGGCACAGGTATCTCATACCTGTAATCCTAGTTACTCAGGAGGCTGAGATCTGAGGATCATGGTTCAAAGCCAGCCTGGGCAGGAAAGTCCATGAGACTTTTATCTCCAACCAAACACCAGAAAACCGGAAGTGGCTCTGTGGCTCAAGTGGTAAAGCACCTGCCTTGAGCTGAAGAGCTGAGGGATAGTGCTCAGGCCCAGAGTTCAAGCCCCACAACCAACAACAACAACAAAAACAAAAAGATTATTAGGCTTTTGTCAGAAAACCACGCAGACATCCAGGTACAAAGAACAAAGAAAAGTTTATTGCCAGCAAAGGGACAGGCAAGACCCCTTCTCACAAGAGAGGAGTGAGAAGAAGTGCCAGCTATTGTCTGAGGTGCCCTATATGACCTACTGAGCCTAAGAGGGACTAGAAGGGGCTAGGAGGTAGAAACCCTGGTGTAGACCTGAGGACCAGGGGCTTCATCATGACAGACTAGGATTTATGGCTGCTGTCCAAGTAGTAGAGAAGGGGCCCTGCAGCTGCCCAGACCTGAAGGTCATTCTAAGGGGCTCTTGCTCCCTTATATGGTGGTAGCTGTCCCAGAGGAGTGCCATCTCAAGGCAAAGGGGGGGTTGGAGGCTGATTTATTTACTGCCTTTAATAAATGGGCCTAGTGTTGCCTAGGAAGGGAGCATGCCAAGCTGTGGAATGGGGAAGGAGCATGTTAAGCTATGGGAAGGGAGCTCATTGGGCTAACATTCCCAACTCTTTGATTTAATAATTGAATGAGGGCACCAGGTTGGGAGCATGGGCAAAGGTTTTTTCTGGAGCTGCTTCCTGCTGAAAAGGGGGTGAGATGGTCAATGGCGATACCCTCCTAGGAGCATTTGACTGATGGACTAATTGGTGATGTCTCTTCTTTTCCATGAGGATATTCTGCATGTACCCGAGCAGGCAAGGCAATATTAGTATTAGGCAAAACGTTGCAGTTAAGGGACCCAAGATAGGTATGTACCAGGGAGTAAGCTGCCCGAATAGGTCCCATCCCCCTTCATTCTGCTGGATTTTTTTTTTTTTGAGTTTTCTGAGATGTTTGACTTGTTTTTTGATGGCATCGCTGCTATCAGTTAGATAAGCAGCACAGGTTTTTTTGATCTCCCTGCACCCTTCGTAGTGGATTAAGAGTAATCAAGGCGGTGGATAGCAGTGCATTGGCAGAGGAGGTGTAGCCAATATCTTTTGCCACTATGCATGCCAAATATATAACACCCTTATAGGCTCCTACCACCAGCCCTGATATCCCAAGCAAGGAAAAAGTGAAGGCAATGCACAGTTTTTATCCAGCACTAGACTTCTTGTTGTTGAGGCTGGAAAAGCTCTTTGTGGAGTGGTACAACAGCTAGATGGCTTAGGCAGCACTGGGCGTTATGACGCAGATTGTCAGGGTTGTAGTTAATTATTACAGGTAAAAACCAGGCATTAGGTAAGGAAATGTGGCCCTTCACATATAAGATGCGTTCATAGTTGGCCCAAGTAAAGTTGCCCTTCTTCCGCTCTAGCAGTTTGGGGTACAATTTCGAACCTGGGCACAGGTGTTATTTTAGGAGTTAGCTTAGATGGTATTTATATTAGCCACAGATTTGTAAACCAGAAGCAGGCAGGGCCTGAGCACATGTCCCATCTCTAGTCCCTGCCTCAGGCACAAGTGTGGGACAGTAGATACAAGATGTTACAATGCATGTGGTCCTGCAAGGACTCCAAGTTGGAAGATCCGCCATATTGGTATTTTAGGTTGTCAATATCTGATGAGGCAGGGGCTAGTCTGGCAGGGCTGCTGTTCCTAAACCAAGAGGAAACGAGTTCGATGTTACTTGTTTGGGGTGGATAGGATGGCTGATGCTGTTGTTTCTGCCCTCAATATCCTTAGCGTCTGGCTTTCTGTGACATGAGGGGGACTGCATGGATCCAAGTTGGTTTGTCTGGTCTGGTAGATTCCGGACTGAGAAGGCTGATTAGGCTGGTGGTGCTCTATGTGCCAAGATGAATCTAGTAGTAGGGAAGCCTTGGATCTGTATGGACAGGGACTTGCACAGGGCTTTTTACTGGTGGATCTAACAAAAACAAACAAGCAAACAAATATAATTTTATTATGTTTTTGACTCAGGCTAGAGCTTGAGTGAACAATACCATGAGAACAATGTTTTACTCCTCAACGTGATCTAACTTGCTGGGAGAATGATCATTGTTCTTCCTTCAGTGTAATTGAGAGCCCAATTTTTAAAAAATATACCAATAAGTCAAAATTGACTGATACAAAGGGATTTGCAATGGTTTGGACATAGTTCCCCAAAGGCTTATGTGTTGGAAGTTTGGCCACCAGTTCCCCAGTGAGAGTTGGAATCTTTGAGAAAGTAGAGCTGAGTGGGAAGTCGCAGGAGCAGCACTTTGAAAGAGATTGGGGTAGTTCTCCTGAGACCCTGTGTAGTTCTTACAAGAGGGTTGTCATAAAAACAGACTGGCTCTATCCACACTCTGGCTTCCTGTCATGCATGTGATCTCTTCTTTTTTTTTTCCTTGGTTTTTGGGTTTTTTTTTTTCTTTTGTCAGTCATAGGGCTTGCTTTTGTGCTTAAGGCTAAGGCTCTACCACCATTTTGAGCCACAGCGCCACTTCTGGTTTTCTGGTGGTTAATTGGAGATAAGAGTCTCACAGACTTTCCTGCCCGGGCTGGCTTTGAACCTCAATCCTCAGCCTCCTTAGTAGCTAGGATTACAGGTGTGAGCCACCGGCATCTGGCCCACCGTGATTTCTTGAATAAGTTTCTGCCCTGAGACCATATTGCAAGTGAATAGATCCTTCCTCTCTGGAAGAGTATACAAATAAAGCTATGAACAGTGGAAAACTTGAACAAAAGAGGAAATTAATTGTAAGGTGAAAGAAAAAAAGCCACTCAAAAGAGTAAGTAGTGGGACCTGGAAATCAGTCAGTTTTGGCTGATGGGGTAGAAGGGATTTTCCTTTTATCATCTCTCACCCTGAGTCAGAATCCACCCAGGACCTATTGGTCAGTTTGACTTCTGAATATGAGTTCAACTAGCAGGAGTAGTTTTGGCCATGCTCCAGGAGCTGGGGTCAGTATGCAGGAGTGCTGATGAGCACTTCACCAGGAGCCTCCCGGCTGGCTTCGGAGAAAGACTAGCTGGGGAACGGTTGTGAGCACTCAGTATGTAGAGGATCCTAATGAAGCCACCAATAATCTATGACAATCTATTAACAAGTTAAGAAAAGTTGCAAGACATATGATCGCTACATAAAAATCAATTGTATTTATAGTAAGAATGAAAAAAAAATCTAAAAATAAAATGCAAAGAAATTCAAATCACTATCAAGGTGGGAGTCAGTAGCTCATGCTTCTGATCCTAGCCACTCCAGAAGCTGAGATCTGAGGATTGAGATTTGAAGCCATCCTGGAAAGGCAAGTTTGAGACACTCTATCTTCAATGAACTGGCAAAGAATGTAGACCAGAGGTGTGGTTTGAGTGGCAGAACACCAGCTATAAATGAAAAAGCAAGGTATACTGGCACATACACACAAAGTTACAATAGCATCAACACAGTTTAAAGACAGATAAATTTAAGAGAAGAAATACAATATTGATGCACTAAAAATTATAAGACATTGTTAAGAGGTTAGAGAAGATCTAAATAAATGCAGAGACTGTCCATGCCCATAGTTTGGAAGTCTAAACATTGCTAAGACTATGTACTCCTCAAAGTGATCTCTCCATCCAGTTAACTTCCTATCCAGCCACATCTGGATTTTTTTTTTTGGAAGAGTTGTCAGGATGATCCTAAAATTTATGTGGACAAGTAAAGAACTCAAAATTGTCCAAGTAACCTTGGGGGAGGGATGAAGTTGGAGGATTCATATTTCTCCATTTCAAAACTTACTGCAGAGCGACAACACTCAAAACAGTGTGGTACTGGCATAAGAATAGGCAGGTAGACAGTCATACAATGGAAAGACCAGAAATAAATCTATACATTATGACCAAGGGATTTTCAACAAGGGGGCTAAAATTATTCTGTGGGGAAAGAATAAGTTTTCTTAATTTAAAAAAGGTAGAAGAAATGAATATTCACACATAAATTATGAAGTAGGATTCCTACCCGACAACATGTATAAAAATTAAGTCAAAATGGATCAATGAACTAAAATTAAGAACTAAAACAGCAAATGTTTTATAACATTGAAGAAAGCACAGGTGTTGAGTCTTCCTGGCCTTGGATTAGCAATGGTCTCTGAGTTATGATGCCTCACAAGCAACCATGGTGAAAATAAGTTGGATTCCATGAAAAAAAAACCCACATTATAAATTCAAAAGAACCATCTATAGAATGGAATAAATTATTTGCAAATTACATAACTGAAAAGTTCTTTTTTTGGGGGGGGGATCCGGTCGTGGGGCCTGAACTCTGGGCCTGGGCACTGTCCCTCAGCTCTTCAGCTTAAGGCTAGCACTCTACCACTTGAGCCACAGCGCCACTTCCGACTTTTTTTCTTTTTTGCTTATGTGCTGAGGAATCGAACCCAGGGCCTCAGGCATGCAAGACAAGCGCTCTACCACTGAACCACCTCCCCAGCCCCATAACTGAAAAGTTCTAATACCCAGAATATATCAAGTACTTACAACTCAAGAGTAGAAAAACAGATAACTCAGTTGAAATTTAAACAAAGGGCCGAGCGCCAGTGGCTCACGCCTATAATCCTAGCTATTCAGGAGACAGAGATCTGAGGATCACGGTTCAAAGCCAGCCCAGGCAGGAAAGGCTGTGAAACTCTGATCTCCAATAAACCACACACCCACACACAAAAAAGGAAGTGGTACTGTGGCTCAAGTGGTAGAGTGCTTGCCTTGAGCTGAAGAGCTCAGGGACAGCGCTCAGGCACAGAGTTCAAGCCTCATGACAAAAAAAAAAAAAAATTAAGCCAAAGATTTGAATAGACATTTCTCCAAAGAAGATATATAATTGGCCAGTAAGTATGTGAACTAATGGTTAACATCATAAATCATTAGGGAAAAGCACATCCAAACCATGAGACACCATTTCCCCCACTAAAATGACTTATGGAAAAGGAAGACAATAATAAGTATTAAGGATATAGAGGAAATAGGAGCTGGAACTCTCATGCATTACTAGTTGGAATGCAATAGCTTTGTGAAGTTTACCAATTCCAAATTACCATATGATTCAGCAATTCACACACAAAAGAATTTAAAGCATATATGTACACACAGTTCTGTTCATTGAAGCATGATTCATAATAGCCAAAAAGTATAAATAACCAAAATGTCTATCAACTGGGAAATAGTTGAATTCCATAATATTATACGGATAATATTCTTGCAATGGAATATTGCTCAGCCATAAAAAATGGCAATGAAGTACCCTTTGTAGTACTATTGTTACAGCATGAATGGACATTGGAAACATTATAGGAGGTAAAGAAGCCAATCACCAAAGAACACTGCATAACCTCATTTATATGAAATGTGCAAACAGAAAAATCCACAGAGACAGAAGGTAAATTAATGGTTGTAGGGTTAGAGAAATGGAGAATGATGGCTAATGGTTCAACATGATTTGAGGTAATAAAAATGTTTTGGAATTACATAGTGATGGTGGTTGCCTAGGAATCTTTTTCCTTCCTTCCTTCCTTCCTTCCTTTCTTCCTTCTTTCCTTCCTTTCCCTCCTTCCTCTTTTTTCCCTTCTTTCCTCCTTCCCTCCCTTCCTTCCTTCTTTCTTTCTTTGTTTCTTCCAGTAGTAGGGCTTGAACTAAGGGCCAGAGTGTTGTCCCTAGATTTTTCACTCAACACTGGTGCTCTACTACTTTAGCCACACACCTTCATTTCTGGATTTTTGCTGGTTAGGAATGAATCTCACAGACTTTCCTTCCTGGGCTGGCTTTAACTGTGCTGCTCATACTCAGCCTCCTGAGTAGCTAGGATTATAGGTTTGAACCACTGGCACCCAGCTGCTTATGCATGTTCTAAAAACCATTCTGTTGTACATTTAAAAGGGTATTATGTGAATTTTTCCTGAAAGGAAAATAAAGTAAAATGGGAAAATGTCCTTTTTCTTCTCAGAAACTAATGGAAATAAACATCCCCTTCAATGGATTGGTCCTCATTTTAAGATGTCCCAAATTATCTGTGGTGAAGAACTTGTTTTGTTTCTAATCTATCATGGATCTAAACACTTGTGTAAAATACAGCAAAATTGAATTAATAGAAAAATGAAATAAAACATTAAAGATACACAAATTAGAAGCCTAATGCTTTTATTATTGGGCTTCATAGACATACAAATTCTAGGATGGTTTCCAAGTGATTTCTCTTAATATTTTTACTCACTTCAGCAAGACTGGTAGCCAATAATTTATAGATGGCGACTCAGTCAGTGAAACTTACTGTTGAGTAGAATTTACAGATACCATAGTAAGCTCTAGTAAGGAGCCATGAATGCTTGGGGATTGGAGGTCATAAGAGGTCTTCAAATAATGAATATTGTTTTTGTTATTTACAGACCACCATTCATGATGTTGAAACCATCCTAGGAGTAACAGAAGAAAACAAAATAAGATTTGAAGAGCTACAGTCCAAAGATGATAAAAAAGCAATCCATGCTTGATAAGTAATCCTGAAATAGCTTACAATTTTAGATCCCTGTCTAGAGCAAGAAAGAGCAAGATTTCTTTTGCTTTTAGGAATAAAAGTAGGAGAAATTAATTTGCCTTGTTTGTTAAGAGGTGAATCCAGATGAATTATATTACACTGTAATTTTCTTTTTACAATTGATTAAGAGATCTTATGTTACTCATTAAATCAAAACCTATTGGTGGTTTTACTTAATAGTGCTAAACCAGCTCTTCTTCTCAAATTAAGGAAAAGGTAATCTGTTAAAAGAAGAATGTCATGTCTTCTTGATATCACTTCTGCATGTACTCCTCTATACACTTCAGGATTGTGGAGCCTTCATTTGTTCTACAAATATTTCTCCTGTTCCAAAGAGTAATTAACTCCCGTATTTAAAACATTTAAAGCATAAAACATTGCTATTTGGCAAAACACATTTGTCTTTTTCTCCCCCAAAGAAAACTATATGAATATTTTTTGTGTGTGCTTGAACTCAGGGCTTGGGCACCATCACTTAGCTTTTTTTGCTCAAGGCTATCACTCTACCACTTGAGCTACAACTCCACCTCTGGCATTTTGGTGGTTAATTGGAGATAAGAGTCTTATGGACTTTCTTGCCTGAGCTGGCTTCAAACCACAGTCCTTAGATCTTAGCCTCCTGAGTGGCTAGGAGTTCAGGCATGAGCCATTGGTGGCTTACTGCATGAATTTTGAAAGATGATTCTTTATTATTCACTGTACTTTCATTGTACACAGCCCCTTCTATTGTTTGCTATTGTTGCTATTCTTCAAGTAGGAAAAGCTAACATCTAATTAACCAAAGCATCAAAATGTGTCTAGGTGGCAGTATCTGCTCTTAGTTTAGGATATAGTTCAATCAAGCCCTCTAGCTTCAACTTGTGTTCTCTAGTTCTCCATTTAAGCTAGTATAGGATTTTTACAAACTGAAATCAACAGTATCTTTTAAGAGGCAAGTTGTGTGTGTGTGTGTGTGTGTGTGTGTGTGTGTGTGTGTGTGTGTGTGTGTGTGTGTGTGTGTGTGTGTGTGTGTATGCCTGTACTGGGGCTTGAACTCAGGGCCTGGCACTGTTCCTTGGCTTTTTGGCTCAAAGTTGATGCTCTACCACTCAAGTAACAGCTCCACTTCTGGCTTGTTGATGGTCCAAATGGGGAGAAAATTCTCAGGGATTTTCCTGCACAGGCTAGCTTCAAACTGAGATCCTAGATTTCAGCCTCCTGAGCAGCCAGGGTTACAGGGTAAGCCACTGGCACCTGACCTAAGAGGCAATTAGTAAGTAATACAGTGGTGACACAATCGACATTTGCTTCATAATTGCCCTCAGAAAATTTTCGTATTAATCAGCTTTGCTGCAGAATGCAAGGGGTAACACCAAAAGTGTTCAACTCTAAAGAATGACTTTTGTAATTTTAAAAACTACTTGAGTGTATTGGCAAAATGAAAAGTATTTTTTACCTATGGAATTCCAGCAATCTTTAAACTGTGTTCCAGCCACAGGCTTAAAGTTTCTGCAATGAATTGAACATTTCTGCCTATATCAGCCTTTGATCTGCCGTAGCTGAGCATACATTAATTAGCCAGGTTTCCTGCCTAGGTACAGGATGACCTCTTTTTCTTGTCCAATCTCTCTAGTCCATATGAGGGGCCTACTGTCCAGACACTTGACAGATAGGAAGTACTTCCTACCCATTAGAAACATGCTTCTATTGAAGCCAGAATAACATAAGGTCCAAGAGACTCATTAGTTCACTGGCACACTCGTGTCCTGAGAGTAAATGGAATCCTCTGTCTCCTTATGGCTCTCATCTGCTCTGGACTTTAACAGAAAACTGTCTCTGTTTTGTTCAGCACAGCAGTGGATCATTCCTGTGGTGAAAACCCTCTGCTGAACAGTACCAAAGTATTAAATCCATCCAGAAAGAAGAGTTTTATTGTTGCTGTTGGTTCATTTGTTTGCGCATGTCCTGGAGCTTGAACTCAAGACTTGGGTGCTGTCCCTGAGCTTCACTGCTCAAAGTTAGCATTGTACCACTTGAACTACAGCTCCATTTCTGGCTTTGTGCTGGTTAATTGTAGCTAAGAGTCTCAGAGACTTTCTTGCTCAGGCTGGCTTCGAACCATGATTCTCAGATTTCAGACTCCTTGGAAGCTAGAATTATAAGCTGGTACCTGGCTTAGGGAAGGTTATTTTTCGGGGCGGGGGGTGGATTTCTTCATTTTTTTTTATTTTTTGTGAACATACTGTACAGAGGGGTTACAATTACATGGGCAAGATAATGAGTACATTTCTTATCAAGCATTGCAGCCTCCTCCTTTGTTTCCCCTTCACATCCCTTCTCAGCCTCCCCCGGCCCCCCCACCTAATCCCCCGCCCCCACCAAAGTTGTAAAGTTCGTTTTCGACATGACAACTTGTACTTCTCATAGTTGCAACGGGTCCACCTGTATCCTTAAACGACTTGTTTTTCCCCATCTCCTCCACAAATTATACCGACATCAAATATAGTGAAAGCTGGGGTTATACTGTGGGGGAGGGACATACAAAGCAACAAAGAAATAATCTTATAAATGAGTTAGAAACAAATGCATGAAAGAAAAAAACGTTTAAATACATATCTAAGGGTTCGGGGTGTTTTGATCTCGTGGCCTGGGTGCTGTCCCTGACAGCTCAAGGCTAGTGCTCTACTACTTGAGCTACAGCTCTGTATCCAACTTTTTTGGCGATTAATTAGAGATAAAAGCCTCACAAATAATAAACCTTTTTTTTAAGTCTCAGGAAGTGGAGCTGTGGCTCAAAGTGGTAGAGTGCTAACCTTGAGCAAAATGGATCAGGGACAGTGCCCAGGCCCTGAGTTCAAGCCCCATGACTGACCCAAAGAGAGGGGGTGGGGATAGGGAAAGAGAGAAGCCTCATGGACTTTCCTGATCTCAGCCTCCTGAGTAGCTAGGATTACAGGCATGAGCCCCTATTATTCAACTGTAGGGAAGAAGTTTGGGGTGTAGAGTTTTGATTAGAGCCTCAAGCTGCTGGCAATAGTAAAATGAACCCGTTCTCCTGAACTAGTGTGTGTGTGTGTGTGTGTGTGTGTGTGTGTGTGTGCGCACGCACGTCTGGGGCTTGAACGCAGGGCCTGGGCTCTGTCCTTTAGCTTTTTCCACTGAAGGCTGGTACTCTCCCAGTTGAGCCACAGCTCCACTTGTGGCTTTTTGGTAGTTAATTGAAGATCGTCACGTGGACTCTCCTCCCTAGGCCAGCTTCGAATTGCAATCCTCAATTCTCTGTCTCCTGAGTAGCTAGGATTTACAGGTGTGACCCATCACACTCAGACTGAACCTTTTCTTTCATCCACATAATTGGCTTCTCAAACAATGCCATTTGCCTCCTTTGCATACATCCTTATCATCCTCCACCAAAGGCACGTTTCAAGTTCAGGCTTTCTAGCCAGGCTCACTCACTTTTCCCTTACAAGTGATCAGGAGATGATCAGGGAGGATCTCTGCTGAAACACCTGCAGCTTCAAAATGAAAGGCAAAAAAAAAATAATGGTATAATAAAACAATCACTTCAAGTAATTAAATGGAAGAAGCCAGAGGACCAGATTAAATTAGTGAAATGCTTTAATTACAGAATATTTGAAAAGACGCATAGTCCATTATCTTTTCAGCACATACATGTTACACAGATGCTGAAGTATTGGTAAACTAAGTTTGAAAATATAATTATTTCTATGTGCCCAATGTCTAAAATATCCCAGGCATAACTTAGTGAGTTTTTACTATTTGGAAAAGAAACTATAATGTTCGTTGGCATAAGAATTCTTAGAAAAATGACATGAATTTTTTTTTCAGGAAGTTTTGGAACGAATACATTGAATAGTAGAGTTATCTTTGAATGAGGGATGACCCATTGTTTAATGTCAAGTGTTTGCAATCGGTGGAGAAGCAAATTGTAGTAGCCATTTATTATTATTGGGGAAGCATGTCCTTTAAGGCAGCATCCCTTTTTCCTTGCTTGTTTGTTTGTTTGTATTAGTATTGTGGCTACTCAAGTGGCTAAGATCTGAGGACTGAGGTTCAAAGCCAGCCCAGGCAGAAAAGTCTGTGAGACTCTTATCTCCAATTAACTACTCAGAAAACCAGAAGTGGTGCTGTGACTCAAGTAGTAGAGCACTTGCCTTGAGCTGAAGAGCTCAGGGACGGCTCCCAGGCCAAGAATTCAAGCCCCACGACATCGACCAAAAAAAAAAAAAAAAAGCCAGAAGTGGAGATGTGGCTCAAGTAATAGACACCCATCTTGAGCAAAAAAAGTTCAGGGACAGCACCCAGGCCCTGAGTTTAAGGTTCAGTACCAGCTGAACCTTTTCCAGTGAGCAAAGCGAAAACAGATGCTTCTTCCCCCGCCTCAACCTCCACCCTCACATTTTCTTGGCAAACTTAATTTATAGTTTGCCAGATAAGATTTACTATGATTAGTCTATTTAAAGAGTCGAACAAATGTGTGCTGTGCACATTAAAGCCAGAGGAACAGTAAAATAAAACTAATGAACATTTACATTTTTGAAAATATAATTAATGTATGCTTGAGAAATTTTGAAAGATAAACATTTAAGTGTTAAAATACTTATTACCTTCCCCACAGGGACAGGATTGGGAATTAATGAGATAACAAATGTAGAGTGCTTTGAGCTCTTTAGAAGAAAGGTGTCAGATGAATACAAATGATTATTAATTGTTAAAGCTATCAGTTAGTTACTAATATATTACTTATGATAAAATATATGTTTTAATCCTTAAAACAGAATGGTTACAATTACTAGGATGACATAGCTGAAATAATGTCCCCAACTCCTCCCTAGCTCGTTTGCATGATGTGGAGTCCTATCCCTACCCTTCCAGGATTTGGGGGTGGAGGGGTGTTTGTTTTCTTTTTTGGTGCTGGCACTGGGGCTTGAAATCAGGGCCTGAGCATTTTCCCTGAGCTTTTCACTCAAAGCTAATACTTTACTGCTTGAGCCACAGCTCCACTTCCAGCTTTTTTGGTGGTTAATGGGAAGTAAGAGTCTCATGGACTTTCCTGCCCTGTCTCCCTTCAAACTGAGGTCCTTAGATCTCAGCCTCCTGAGTAACTAGGATTTCAGGCCTAAGCCACCAGCGCCCTAG